AAAAACTAATTCTTTTTTTTAAAAAAAAATTAAAATTTGAATTATTGTTTTTGCAAAATTAAAAATTTGGTATCTATACATGATGATAGAACATTGATGTGCAAAATTGGAAAAAAAAAACTTAAAAAATGAAAAAACTGATAATGTTCTCAGTTTCAAAATTGAAAACAACTATTAATATTCTCGGTTTTATTGGATAGTTGAATCAAACCAATAAACAGAAGGGCAAAAACGTTTAATCTCGTGCACTATTTTTTTTCATTAGTTAGCGAAATAATTATTTGAAATATTACTATGCAAAATTGATAATTTTCTTAGTTTTAAAAATTAATAAAAACTGATAATATTCTCAATTTTACTAAATAAGACTTATTTGTTCAAAAAATCTTAGATAAGATCTGAACTATCATAACATTTGTAAATAAGACTTTTAGGTAATTAACTCATAAAATTTCTACTCTCTTACATATATAAATATTTTATTCCAATACATGCATGATTGTCATACTATGCCACATATATATATATATATATATATAATGACACAAAAGACAAAGGAAAAAGAGAAGAAAACAAAGTTATTACTATTTTGATGTTTTGACTAAAAACATTATTATATTATTTTTATGTGTGCACAAAATGTTTGAAAATTTGTGATCTAATTTCAACTTAATTATTTTGATTAAGTCACATTTTTATTAAGATGATTTTGATGATATAGTATATTAATATTTTTCTTGTGAGTTAATATTTGTTTTATGTGTTACATTTTGAAAAATTCAAAAATAACATTCTAAACTCTTAATTGATCATGGCACCTATTGAAATCTTCTTATCTTTTGAGTTTATCCATTTTTATTAATGATAGAAAGGAGAATGAAAAATAACACTATTTATTATGTTTTTACTTAACTTGATATGATTATATTTTATACACTCTATATTTCATGTGATTGTTTCATGATTGCTATATCTGCACAAAATCACTATAGAAAAAGGAAGTACCAACTTAGGGGGAGAAATAATTTTGCTAAACAATTTTATGTGATTTTTTTTATAAATTTTCTCTCTATCTCACCCACTCGTCATCTCACTCTCTCTTTCTCTCTTTTGCTCCTTTTTTTTTCCTCTCTCTCACCCGCTTTCGCTCATTCTCATCCTCCGACACCATCTTCATCACCACCATCATCCTTTCAAATTCGTCACCGATCTACCAAAATCCATCACAAATCTATAAATCCATCATCGATCTACCAGGGTCTATCTCCAATCTATATCATATCTATTACTAATCTTCACTATCCATTTCGATCCTCTCCATCATCGCAGATCTACATCGTCATCACCGATCTTCACAATTATCGACGATCTTTACATCCACCAGCATGTTTTTCCTTATCGAAATGCTAAAATTATTTTTACAATTTGTAATACTTCTTTTGTGGTTGCATGTGATGCAAACTTTTTGTTATTGTATTACTACTGTTTCTACCTAGTATGAAGCATTTGGTTTCATGTGTCTTTTTCTTTTTTTGATGGTACACTTGGTGCAGTTGTATTTGGCCAGATCTTAATGGCCCTTGGTATTATTGATTGAGAAACTATTCTGTAATTTTTTTATGAAGCGTCATAAGCTCAGGGGGAGTTTTCTTAAAATTATTCTATGATCATATGCATTAACTCAGTGGGAGTTTTTATATTCAACAGATATTGTGTTAAATGCTTGCATCATTATTGTTAAAAAAATTTTGTTGTATTTATTTCAAAAGATAAATAATTTTTTTTTACCTGTATTAACCTTTTATTTTGAGATGTCAAATGAGGAGAAGAAATTTGATTTATATGTAAATTATTTGACAAAGAATTTGTTAATAATGGGAGAGAAAATATAATGAAAATAAATGCCTATATTATGATTGTTGAATATTTTATGGTGCATTTATTCATGTGAAATTTTCTGTCAAATTCATGCATGTATTGCCATGATCAAAAAATGGGAGATTGTTAATCATGTGGTCTAATTTTGATTATGTCTAAAATATTATGTGATAAATTATAATTTTTTAATACACATATTTTATATTATTTGACGCAAAATATTATCTATTTTGTATGATATATTTGTTATAAATATTATTTAAATGGAAATATTTTGAAAATTTTACTATTCACGATTTTGAAAAATTCGACTGATGACTATTCATCTTTTGACAAATTTGATATTAATGAGTTGTTATCTTTTAACGAATTTGATTTTGGTGAGTTGTTATCTTTTGACAAAACTTGATATGCCCACATAAGTGGTGCGTCATTTTTTTTACTAAAGTGTATTTAAAATCTCGACAAAAATTTTAAAATATATTTTTTAGATATGATATAAATGTTATTTAAAGAAATTTTACTATGCATACAAATATTTTAATAAAGAAGTCACTGTGCATGTGCATAATAGCAAAATTACTGTGCATTCAAATATTTTAATTTAAAAGTTACTATGCAGTCACTGTACATCATTTGTTTTAACGGCAAAAGTTTTGAAGTATTTGTATCACTATTTTATCGAAAGTGATGTTTAATCAATTGTTTCAAACCTCTAAGCTGCAATTTTTGAAAATGGAAAAGGCCTCGAGCGCCTGTGATGACGAACGTCGGGCGTGAAATCAATGATCCAAAGAGAAGTGTTCTCTTCTCTCCAACGGATATGAGCCAACGGATTTAATTTTATGATATATAAGAAGTATTTTAGTTGGAGAAAAGTAAGAAGTGAAGAAGAGAAAAATCTGTGATATTGAAATGTTCTCAAATATTGTATTGTGCTTTATTGAATTACATTTTCTGTGAGAAAATTTATTGAGAGTTTGAGCAAGATTGTAAAAGTGTTTTTATATCCCTTATTCATTTTATACTTGTAAAAAAAAAGTTTTTGTGAGTGATTTTTTGAGATAAAATCACTTGGGTTAGGTGTGACTATGCACTGAATTCTAAACTAGTCGAAGTGATCAGGATTGGTCACTTGTTATAAAGGTTCACTAGCACCTGTGAAGCTAACGGTGTAATTACTACTTGAAGAATAGTGGAAAAATTCTCAAGAAGGATACTTGGGGAGTGGACGTAGGCCCGACGTGCTGAACTAGTATAAATCGCGGTGTTGGATTTCTCTTCTCTTTGTTCATTCTATTTCATTACTTTATGAGTAATGCTAGACTCCAAAAAATTTATCAAAATCTATATCAAATGTTTCACATGGGTGTGGGATCCACACCATGTGAGTCCCACACACATGTGAGACATTTGATAGAAATTTTAGTAAAACTTTTAGGATCTCTAGCATTTTTGTTACTTTATTTTATATTATTAAGCATATTTTATTTATTTATTATTTGGGTTAATTTTTAATTTGACAATTTATTTAAAAACCCAATTCATCCCTTCTTGGGTTGCATATCTGGGATAACACAATTTATTATTTTTGTTATAAAAAAATTTATGGTTTATTTTTTAAAAACACAATTGTCCTCCATCTTTAAGTGAGAAATACGATAAATTAGGCAAGAAAGTTATTAGATTGACTTAATTTTTTTATTTTATTTTTATGAATGAAATATAGGAATTGTCCAATAAAATAAACAATTTATATTATCAAAACATGACTAATATTATCAAAACAATGTTGAACTGGAAGAATCCTCCTCCTATTCCATTAGTGTGTATATATATATATATTAGGGTTGTACAGCTCGAGTGGGCTACCATGTCTTACCATAACAATGTAAGCATGCAATGATATGACTAATGAGAGGAGAGGGGTCTAAGGAATGCAGTGTTGTGAAGTTGCAGTATGGAATGAAATGGAACAGTGGGGTAGTAGCAACTAAAGAACAATTTCGAGCCCCACTCTCAACATATCTAACAGCCTTTGCCTTAAAAATGTGAACTAGTAATCCAGCCCACTAAATTGACAACTCAATAATCCACGAATTTGACACGTAACAACTCCATCGAGCATGTTACCACTTTTCACGAGATGTTGGTGGCCTTTATAAATGGGATTAGTCTAGTTTTAGAATAAATTAAAATTGTAATTATTTCAAATTATAAAAATTTATTTGATTTAGTTTAGTTTTATAATTCTAGAACTAGGAAATATAGTATTATAATAATAAACAAATTAAAAAATTAGATGTGCAATTAAGTTGGTTGAAACTTATTAAATTCATAATTAAAATTAATATTCAAATCTCGCTAATTGTTTGTACTCACGTCTTTAAATACAAAAATATTATAAAGTAACAAACAAATTTGACACGCTTTTCTAAAAGAAAGTGTCATTCTAATGTTTTAGAGATGCTTATTGCAGAAAAAAAAAAAAAAAACAAAAACAAAATTAAAACAGTTTCCAAATTATTTTTTAAAATATTTCTTCACTTCATTTTATTTCTATTTTTTACTTTAAATTTTGTTTTACCTATTAAAACAGTTTCCAATTTTTTTTAAAAAAATATTTCTTCACTTTACTTCATTTTATTTCTATTTTTTACTTTAAATTTTGTCTTACCTTTTTAAATTTAAAATTCAAACCTAACAAAATAGTTATAACTTTACCAAAATTGCAAAGAATACCAAAATTACGAAAGATTCTTCAATAACCGATCAAGCGTGGAAAAGTGAGGAATTATCTTATTTTTTTAAGAATTTTAATTAGGTCGTGTGTTTTTTTAATTTTATTGATTGTTTTATGTAATATATATATATATATATAAAACAGAATAATATAAAAGATAATAAATGTACAATCAATAGAATTATAAAAATATCCAGGATGGCGGATTTATGTAATAATTTTTTTGGCAAGAGGGGGTGTCCCAACCGTTCCTTCTTATCATGCAGAGTCCACGTGTCTGAATTGTCGTAACCGAGCAAAACCCGCCACGTCAGCACGCCCACCTCCGTCCTCTTCAGTACCCCTTCCCATGGCAGTCAACGGATCCACAAAACATCGCAAAAAAAAAAAAAAAAAAAAAAAAAAAAACGCTGCTATTTAATCGGAGCATTAATTTTTTTTGAAAAAAAATTCAATTGAACACTTCAAGAGATAGTCCATAGTATATGGCGGTTTTGTGACAGGGTTATGGAGCTGTTTCCCGATCACTGTTCGGTGGTTTTCTGAGCGGTTTTGGGTGCTAGGGGCAGGATGGGAGGTGGTGTGAAGAGTTACTCGGTGAGTCCCACCGATTACAAGCTTCTCGAAGAGGTCGGTTATGGTGCGAGTGCGACTGTGTTTCGGGCGATCTATCTTCCTTTCAATGAAGTTGTGGCCGTCAAGTGTTTGGATCTCGATCGCTGCAACAGCAATCTGGTTGGTTTCCTTATCTTCACTCATTTCCTCTGTTTTATCTTTATCTATGTATATCATTTTGTGGTTGTTTATATCTATAAAATTGACTTATTGCAAGCTGAATTATCGAGATTCTGAGATGAGGTTTTGCTTGAGAGTCTCAGTTGTTGTGTTTGCGATCTTGTAGTGTGGTTTTCATCTGTTTACCCTTGCATGTGCTGTTTCTGGTTTCGATTTGATTGTTTTGATTGGGGAAGACAAAACATAGTGAGAATTGAGATCACGAGATATGATAAAATTTCTCATTTCTTATTCTAGGGGTATATCGAGTTTGTTTTGCTTTGAATTTCTGCATTGGATTGTTGAATAGCTGAATTTGGATCTGGTTTTGGTTTAGACCAGTTTGGAACTCTCAATTGGCTCTTTGTGCACACTCTAGGGGGGTGCATTAACAACAAACATTTGGTGGCGGATTAGATTTTCAGATCGAACAAGTTACCTTTTGTCTTCTGGATTGGATAGTAGGAGAGCATAAATTTTTGTTCCAAGTGCAATATAAATGCATGCAACAACAAAAGGCATGTAATTTGATTTGGAAGCTATAGAATTATGACTAGCAATTCTTAAATAGGTTCATTGATGTCGCTAAGATGATATGTTCTGTTGCTCAACTACTAAAATCTACATATCAAATGCCGACAAAACTTTACCATTGAACTTATATTCACCCTGTTCGGTCTTAAGAGATTCGAGTTTATTAGATGTGGTATTATTTTGATTCTTAGAATGGAAGAAAGCTCTATAATTCAAAAAGACCAATGACAACCCGGTTTAAGTAGTATTTTTATAACAAAGTCGCTCACTCTCCCTTCCAACCATTTTGGTGTATCTGATACTTTTCTGCAATTGCTATACCAACATATCGCTATTATGACACATCTGGTTTTTGTAATTGAATGGAAAATAATATTTCAAGAATGGAAGCTAGTGGTAAGCCAAAAGATTGATCTTAGCATAGGGGTTAATATTCCCACAAAGACATGGACATGCGACATGGCATGGACATGACACAAACACATAGACGCAACAATTTTTAAAAAATGTAGGACATGATACGCTTGGGAAAGGTTGTTGCTAATTAATTTGCCGGTCTTGTTTTACATGTTACCTTTCATAGGGCTTTAAAATGAACAAATCTAATTGAGCTCGACTCGTGTTTGACTCGTATGAGATTTGCTTGTTATGTAAACAAGCCAAGCATGAACACATTTTGAAGCTCAATTCGAACTAGACTCAATAAGTTTATATGCACTATAGAATTGTATAAAAACCCTTGTTCGATTGTTAGGGGCTTGGACTAACATTGTTATATTTGTGCCTATGAACCCTTTTTGGATTGGAAATGGCTTAATGAGAAAAACTCACAGCGAGACTGTGAACTAAGCCATTTTTAACTGAATTTCATTGTTTATACTTTCGAATTATTATTTTTGCCGTTTAGAAAATTTTGTTTTAGCAATAATTTTACTTAGGAATTTTCATTTCTAATACCATTTGTTTTGGTCTAACACAAATTTTCATTTCCAAATTTACTCTAACACAAAATTTTAACTTTTAGTAATTTTCCAAGTTTCATTATTAAATTTGCGTTTAGCAAGGAATTGGCATAGTTAGTTGTTTCCTAATAGGATTAGGTCTTTAGCTCATTATAAAAATACGAGTTGTAAGCATAGTTGCCAATATTGGGAACGCAAGCGGGAATCAATATGTGAAACATGATCCAAAATATTATGGGAAGCAGGAAACACTAGGTGATATAAGATTGAAAAGAATATTTATAAAAAAATTATTAAGAACCTCAAAAATGGCAATATTAAGTATTATAATACTTTTGTGATCAATTAAAATGTTACTACTACAAAATATTTTAGAAACTTATTAGAACAATTATATATAGCTGTTAAAAAATAAAATTTGTGAGCAAGAAAAATAGTTGAAATTATGAGTAGCGAGTTTCTAGGGAGTTTCCACTAACATTTTTGTAAAGTTTTTGACAAGTTTCTTTATATTGTGTAACGCTAGAGTTTCAGAAATGTCTCGGAAACATTTCTTGAGAGTTTCCTTTAGAATTTCATGTCCGTCATGGAAACAACTTTATAGGGAAGCGAGTTTTCCCTCTTAAAGAAAGTTTCCTGGTGACTAAGGGTGTTCACGGGTCGGTCTGGATCGGGTTTAGTCTCAATCCGTCAGTCGACCGAACATAGTCAGGTTTGCAATTAGTGAAATTGCTTTCGAACCTTTTGACTTTCGAAATCGATCGAGCTTCTATTCGGTTTGTTAGATCGGTTGGGGTCAAGTTAAGTGGGTTTGACAGATAGAATTTGGGCCTATTTTAATATAAATCAACTGTTAAAAAAAGTTGAAAACCCTAAATCAAAACATAGACAAATAAAATAAAATAATTTAAAACTCTAAATGAAATATGAAAACATGAAATTAGTACAAACCCTAAATCAACCATTATCAATTCAAAAGATTTTAAACCAATGAATCAAAATATGAAACTATTAACAAACAAAAAGGTAAAAAAATAGGATCAAAAGTAAAAATCTTAGGAAAGATACGTCAAATATCTGGAAGATTAAAACCCTCTTCTAGGGTTGAAGATTGACCTTGTTGCATTTATGCTTCAAACTAGCTAACAAATTGAAGAAAGAAATCAAGGGAGAACTAACGAGATCGAACCAAATGGCGATAGAGAGATGATTGAGAGAGAGAGAGAGAGAGAGAATGATTGAGGAGGGAGGAAGAGGGGGGGGGGAGGCAGGCAAAGAGTCTTCGTATCCTCTATTGCTTTGCTGTTTGGTTTTTTGAAAATATGAAAGAGAGTGTAAGTACCAAGTGTTTGCAAATATGAGAGTAGTTTTTATTTTTTTATTTTTAGTATTGTAAGTACCAAATGTTTGGAGATATGAGAGAGAGAGAGAGATTGTGTCTACTCTGAGAAGTCATATCATCACGTGATATAGGCACAGAGTCATCATTCAAAGCTTGCAATCTCAAAGGTTTGAAATTAAATGCATGGTTGACAGGTGGATGGCTGAAGAAGGCTAATATGTAAGCCATTTTCGGCCGGGTCGGTTCTGACGGATAATAATACATTAAATTCGTTGCCGACCGCGAACTCAATAATTTTCCTAAGTCAGAACCGCTGCCGACCCAGAAGCATTTCAAAACCGTCTGTGGTGATGCAGGCCGAGTCGGGCCCATCGGTTTCATCGGGTACGCGGTTTGTATGAACAACCCTATTGGTGACTATGGTTGCAAGCCTATGGCAAATCAATTTTGGACTCAACAAAGTCGTTGATGCCCTTGTTCTTGGAATTCTATGAGAGATTCAACAGGCTCAAGGAGGATTGTTGCTAATTAGTCCATCAGCCTTGTTCTACATGCTACCTTGCATTGCACATTTTCATGGCTCTGCAATAGGGCAAACCAGTCAATTTGCAGGCTGCCTCAGCTGATGCAGTCCAGGTAGCAAAAATTATAATTTGTCTAAAATCTTGAAAAATAATAAAAAATTAAGATCTCTGTTGAGAAGGGTACAACTCTACTATGTAAAGCTCAAGATTCAATTCCACCCTGCCTCAAACCTTTAGAATAATTCTAATTTCTGGAGCTTTCTAGCTCCATGGTTACTTTACCTCATAACTGGGATTGCCATAATCAGCATTCAGCAATTTGTTGACCATGGACTCCATCTTCATTGAACTATAGATCCTATTGAAGATGGTACATTATGAACATTAAAGGAGTGGGTAGTCAATCATTTGAATGCACTATTGAGTTTCTTCATGTTTAAATTATCAAAAAAAAAAAAAAAGAAAAAAGAGTTGTTCTTTACACTGATAAATGATTCAATTTTTTCCTCACGTATTACATTACACAACTTATAATCTACCTGCCTGAATTCTTGATTCTTCTGCACGTATTCTGTAGTTTGTTTATACTCCATGCTGCGCTAATTGATCTGCATCCACATTAGTCTTGTTTTCCATACATTTTAACTACTTTGCTTCTGTTAATCATGGAATCCTATCTCTTCTTTAAAACATGATTATTTCATTGCTTTTTACTAGTTGCCTCCTTTCTTCATTATTAGGCTTGTTCAAATGCTCTCAACTTTGTGAAAGCCGGACATTGGAAATTTAAGCTGTAAATGATCAATAGTGCAGGTCTAAATTTAAGCTGGAAATTTAGCTGAAATAACCTATACAGTACATACTGGTCATGGATTGTTCATGATGACTATAATGAATTATGGTTCGCTTAATTTTTTTTATGCGAAGGCCTGTGTTCCATTTTGCAGGATGACATTCGCAGGGAGGCTCAAACAATGAGTTTGATAGATCATCCCAATGTAATTAGGGCATATTGCTCATTTGTTGTTGACCGAAACCTTTGGGTGGTCATGCCATTCATGGCTGAGGGTTCTTGCCTACACCTCATGAAGATAGCATATCCAGATGGATTTGAAGAGTTTGCTATTGGTTCTATCCTCAAAGAAACTCTGAAGGCTCTGGAGTACCTGCATGAACATGGACATATCCATCGTGATGTTAAGGTTGGTCAATTCATTATTGTAGTAATTAGCTCATGTATTTTCCATTCTTTAATTTTTTTTTTCTTGTCCTTTTTGAATCACCTAGGTTGGCTAGGTTGCAATTTGGTTTGTTGAACATTTGTTGTTGCAGGCTGGAAATATACTACTTGATACTAATGGGGTGGTAAAGCTTGCTGACTTTGGTGTTTCAGCTTGCATGTTCGATAAAGGTGATAGGCAACGCTCAAGAAATACTTTTGTAGGAACTCCATGCTGGTGAGATAGATCAAGAAAGCAATCTTCTTTTAACATCTCTCTCTCTTGCCTGTTTATTTTGTTGGTGACCACTTTTTGTTTTTCTTTTTGTCTGCAAAACGTTTGCTATTTTAGGAATCTTTTGTGATTATGTATCAGATTTTTGTTACTTCTAATTATTTAAGTGTATGATATTTTTATTACTTATAAAAAATAAAAATAAAAGTGTGAGATTTTAATTTCTCTCTGATTTATAGGATGGCACCAGAGGTGTTGCAGCCCGGAAGTGGATATGATTTCAAGTGAGTACTTTCCCATAGCTACAGATGTCTTATTTGAAGCTTTACAGAAATGTCTTTCCTTCCTTGTAATGGGTATTTGGGAGTGAAGATTTTGTATTAACTGTGACCTCTCTCTCTCTCTCTCTCTCATAATGGTACAGGGTATGTTCAGCTGGTTTAGGATACATAGGTTGCTAACTTGGTTGCTATGCTATTATTGTTTTACAGGGCTGACATTTGGTCATTTGGAATTACTGCATTGGAGTTGGCTCATGGTCATGCACCCTTTTCGAAGTATCCACCAATGAAGGTATATATGCTTATCATCCAATGAGGATTCAGTAAATATATTCATACAGATGCAACCTCTGACATATCTTTTTCTTTGTCTCTCCTGCCATAGGTTCTATTAATGACCATACAGAATGCTCCTCCTGGACTTGATTATGATCGTGACAAAAAGTTCTCTAAGGTATCAGTGTTCATTTTGGCTGATGAACGTTTTTGGGACAGCCATATATTGTTCTCTCTCATGTGAATGAAATAATTGGAAATGTATAAATTAAGTCTGCAGTGTCTATTAGGGTCAAAAGGTTCCATGTGTATTTGCTGCTTCAATTTTTGTTTGTATAATGTGATATTAATTATGTGCTGTCGTGAACAGTCTTTTAAAGAGATGGTTGCAATGTGTTTGGTGAAAGATCAGACCAAGAGGCCAGCTGCAGAAAAGTTATTAAAACACTCCTTTTTCAAACATGCTAAGCCTCCTGAGCTTTCTGTGAAGAAACTCTTTGCTGACTTGCCACCTCTGTGGAATCGTGTGAAAACCCTCCAGGTAGCCTATCATAGTGCCATGACACAGTACTTACTTTTATTTCCCTTGTTATATCTATTTAATGGACTTCTGAAAGTTTTGCAGATTAAAGATGCTGCACAGCTAGCACTGAAGAGAATGCCTTCAGCAGAACAAGAAGCAATATCACAGGTTAGGGAGGGGAAAATACATTTTTCCATTACTTTAACCAGAGGGTTATAATCCCGTACTTATGAGGCTCCCAAAAAAGAAAAAGAAAAGAACAACAATATTAGATTCACAATTTCTTACGTGACAGGTTCTAATTCTATTTTCATATGTCAACATTTGTAGCATGGCCATCCCAATTGAATGAACTTTTTCAGCAGGGACCCGCCAATTAATCAATTATATTTACTAGAAAACCACATTCAGTTGCCCCAGTGGTATATATAGTGATGTTATCACTTTCTTTTGTCATTTTGCAATCTGTGCTTAAACTTGTTCTTGCCAACTTCACTACCATGCCAAGAAGCAACAGTGCTTCATTAGAACAGCTTGTGCAGTCATCTGATCACTTTGTATTTGTATACGTGTTTAGAGTGATAGATAAAGCAGAAGTACTCTTACTAAAAAAAGGAGTCAGTTATAATATTATGGAGTTTTTCTTGGTATCAATCAGCTTTTTGCATCAGACAAAAACTTCATAATTCAAACAATTGGGGATTCAGTCTCTAGACTTAAATGTTGTTCTTTTTTTTTCTCTTTTTCCTTTTCTTCTTTTCTGGTTGTAATTTCTCGCTTGTCCTTATCAGAGTGAGTACCAGCGAGGTGTTAGTGCTTGGAACTTCGATATTGAGGATTTAAAAGCCCAAGCATCCTTGGTAAATTCCAAACACTTCGTATGAAGTTGATCATCATACTGTGTAGTTTGCTTCTGAAACTGTTTTGAGTGGTGAATCTGAACTAGTCCTGCTATTGCTCTGGCAGGTGCAAGATGATGATGAAATACAAGAAATCAGGGAAGAAGATGAAAGAATGAAACCAGTTGTAAATAATAAGGTCACTGGATTTTTTAATATTTATGAACATTTATTTTATTTAAAGCTCTCCAAGTATGCCAGATTACATGTTTCCCAATATTTCATTTAGGTAATTGCCCCTTGAAATTTTTGTGTTGTTAAAGGAAATATAGTTTATAAATACTTGCTCTTATTGGCAGGATGCATCTTATTCGAGAGTTGGTTTGCGAAAATCAATTTCCACAAATTACACTATTTGCAGGTAAATGTTATGTGGCTTGTTATCAGTATTCATATTCTAGCTACTTAGGGCTGTAAATTTGGCCTAGCCCGGCCCATGTTGGACCTTGCGGGCTCCCGCCAAAATTCGGGCCGGGCTGGTTCACGGGCTAGAAAATTAGGCCCAGGCCCTAGCCCGGCCCATGTTGGACCTTGCGGGCTCCCGCCAAAATTCGGGCCGGGCTGGTTCACGGGCTAGAAAATTAGGCCCAGGCCCAGGGGGTATTTGGGCCTTGGGCTGGCCGGGGTCTCGGGCTCGGGTGGGCCCGAACAAATTTTTTTTTTATTTTTTCTACTAAAATTTTATTATTTTTCACTAAAAAAAACACTGGGCTTTGGGCCAGGCCTTGAGTGAGTCTTAAGTGGGCCGATGGGCAGGGCCCACAGGTCGGGCTAGGCTTCAAAATGATGGCCCAGATCCAGGGTCTCGGACTGGGTTGGGCCTAGGCTCAAAAGGTCCGGGCCCACCCTCGGCCGCAGGCGGGCTTTGGGCCGCCCACAGGACACGGGCCATTTTTACACTACTATTGTAGCTGCTGCATTTTGGTTTCAACTATTGCACTCAAAATGGTAGTTATTGCCAAATTGATGGCGCATTTTTACATTAAACCTAGTTAATCAGATGAAGTTTTGATAATTATTATCTAGCAGTTATTCATGGTGGCAGTCCATATAATTCATTTTGGACTAATTCTGTAATAGTTCAAATGAAAAGAGAGTGGAAGCCTAAAGTAAATGTTCCCCAAACGAAGTGTGCAACAATTTGATTTTGTAGAGTCCATGGGTACTCTGCCCTTCTAACACTTTTTAATACAACTATTTTTTAACAATGCAACACCATACGAAATTTCAACTGCCTAACTGTTGACTTTTTTTTTGATAAGTAAGCCACTGTTAAACATGCCTTACAGTTGACTATTATTGGAAGGAATGATTCTGATGATGGATGATATCACATGCCTGTTGTGCCAATTACCTCTGAGGACATAAATAGCTAATTTTATTAGCTCTTCAGATGTCCATTCCGAACTTCCCTTTTTAATAAGTAATAGATGAGCGGACTCAAAAGTGGGAAAGAGGAGATTTCCATGGGGCCAAAAGTCCCAGAGAAAGTCTGGTAAAGATTCTTTTTTTGGGGTAAGATATTTTGTTTAATGAAAGCACTGAAAATATTTAAAAGTTACGAAGGTCATTACCCCAGGCAATACAAGATTGCATACTGTAACAGACCTATTCACGTCCTATAAAGCCCTCCAGTCCCAAAAGACGATCCTACCTCATCTGTACCAAACCCAACCCAAAAGCAAACTGGGATCAGAAAATACAAAATAGAAGAAACATATAGACAGACAAAAGTTGCAGCAATTAGGAAATATGAGCATTACTAAGGTCTAACAAAGATGATCATGTACAGTGAGAGACTTGAATGTCAGAAGCATCCCATGAACTTCTTTAGCAAAAATCCAACAATTTGGTTGAGTTCAGTGTTCTAGGGACTCAAAGATATTTCTCTTATTTTGATTTATTTATTTTGGAGGGGTGATTGGGCGTGGATTACTCAGCCTTCTAGCTTCATTCAGCCTCCATGGGAGGACTCCTTTGCCCATAGTACGGTTTCTCTTGTTCAGGTTATTAGTTTCCTTATCTTCTTGAATATTATGTAATAGGGGTGTTTAGTGTGTAGTTCTCTTCATGATTGATATCAATGTTCAGCTATTGGAATTATATCTGCAGATGTATGACTAATGTTCGTACAGCTATTATGTGGGTACATCATTTTCTTTTTGGATATATTAATTGATGAATAATATCATCAACTTCCTGTTGTATAATGCCCAGGCAATTTGACTTGACCTCAATGTTTATCACGTTCTCTACATTTTTCTGCATGATTCAAGTTTCTTTGACCAATTATTTTTTAATCTGTTTCTCAAAATTCTCCACAGTTTTTTGCTTTTGATTTCTTTGAGGCCTGGGCTTATGATTGTGCCAATTTTTTTAGTTTGACTTCGGTTTTGGTTTGCTTGCAATTTGTGCATTTGCTTGGTTTCTGTTGTTTATTTGTTGTCTTTGGTTTTGCTCATTTGTATATATTATTTTATTTTCATTGTAACATATAATTGTTTCAGTGAACAAACAAGTGGTGGTGAATTTCCTCCAACTCAGTGCTCGAGCAATGAGGGGAAAATTCCAGAAAGTGATTTACTCCAGTCTGACTATCAAGGGAAAATTGATCTGGAGAAAAATGGATCAAGAACAGAGTTGCCACCATCGACCTCAGAGAAGGATGCTGCACAAGGCAAAGCTAAAGCTCCATCTGGGAAAAGTCGCCAGACTCAGAGTGGGCCACTCATGCCTGGTATTGTGCTAAGTCATTCAGCATCAGAAAGGGGGCGTATTTTTGAAAGGTTTATACTCTTTCAATACTTCTTTTATCTGTCTATATATTTTTGCAACTGTTTGAAATTATGTCAAAACAGAAGAAAGCAAACACAAAATGGTCTTCTATCATATGTGAAGTGGGATGCAGTTTTCTACTAACCTGTTTTATTCACTTTAATCTAAATGTGGTGTTACTGCATCACTATCCTTTGGTTGTTCTGATAATTTAGTTGCAAAAGATCAATTATGCGACAACCCGATGTAGATAATTTATTTGGAGCGCTTTTTAATTAATATAGTCTGACTGGGGAGAGGGAAAATGCGATGAACACATAAATGAGCGATTGGGGAATATGATGAAAACATAAAAGAGGGATTGGGGATTTTTTCATATCTCTCCAACTTATGCTATCCCCCAAACTATTTTTACTTTCTTCTCACTTATTACCGTGTATGAGTTCATTGTTATTCCTTATGTTACATACACTCGAATAGTAGTACTGGGAGTTGACTTGTGTAGTGTCAAATTCAATGTTACGTAGAATGTGGATCGTTCTAGTTCGAGGAACAGGAATAGGAATGTGGTACGCCACATGCTCTATGGTACGTTAGGGGTAGACTTCTTAATTTAACATCCAGTATATTGTAATGTATTTTCTTCAAATTCATTCATTCAACCACACAATTCTATGAGCATTCTGACTCATTATTTTACATTTTATCAATCCAAAACTCCACTCCTAGATTTTAGGTCATTATATTTGACTTTTCCCCTATTAAGGATAACTTTTAATGCCAAACAAAACATAGGGAAAAAAAAAAAAAATAGGATTGTTTTAGATCACTAAATTCACCGTTTTGGAACGAAAGTGTACTATGTTTTGGAACGAAAGTGTACCATGTTTCAGAACGTGGATTTCAAAATGTAAATCACTAGGGTGTTTGCGTTTTCTAGTAACACTAGTTGGATTCATCTAATATTCTTGTCCTCGGACACGAGGACATGTCTAGATTTTATATTTTCAAATACTACTTTTTATTTTTACGTTAAAATGGTGTTTACAAGGTAGCATAGAGCATGTTATGCATCAAGTAGGAGTCTTATGTATTGTTTTTATATAGTAAACTCGACGACGTACACATTTTTATGGGGTGCATGTCAACGAACTAGACATGACGAACTCAGTCAGACCCTTACTGAAGTATTGAATGTCTAACACATGTACATCACAAATTTAGAGGGTCCATGTAACATAGGACATTCTTATAGAAATAGCTTCTAATACACAATTTGCTTGATGATTTTTTGTTAATTTGGCGTGCAAGTCAAGTCAACCTCTAGTGGAGATGAATTTATAAAAAATATGACTTGTTACAACTACTCTTGGTAATGGGATGTAGAACTTAATAAATAAATTTTGTCTCAATTCATATGTGCTAGGTAACCTGTTTAAAGATGAAGGTGGTACCTTTGGATGTTAAACACCACAATTCGTCCGAGTATGGGAAAGATAAAAGACCAATCTCTTCTTACTTTGTTGGAAGACTTGTATTTTGTTTTCCCTCCCTTACACATTCCTCCATGGAATACATACTTTGTCTGTAATGAACAGAGCATTACGTCAGGCACACATAATTTCATGTTTGAAGCCACATTAGCTTTTATCAATTGATATTTCTATATGCTCCAGCCAGAGTAAAATTGATAAGTCAGGGCTATGCATTATCAGGTGTGAGAATGAAAATCAACCATTAGCTGAAGGACCACTACGTGAGGTACGAAGAGCACCCAGCTTCAGTGGTCCATTGATGCTTCCGAACCGAGCTTCATCAAACAGTTTGTCAGCTCCCATAAAATCTTCAGGAGGTAACGAATTTAATTTGAAATGAAGATGCATTACCAGTACTAATCCAAACAAGTAAATAAATAAAGATGTATCGCCAGCTCTTTTATTGCTAATATTATTACACAATTCAAGTGGCTATTGTTTTATAGAGACTTTTTTTTGCCCTTTTATGAAATTTGTTTAGAAACTCGTTTTCTGGTAAGAAGTTTGTGGCATTGATATATATATATATATATATATTGATATAATTTGTTTTCATTTTTTCACCAATAGGGTTCAGAGATTCTTTGGAGGATAAGTCAAAAACCAATTTGGTGCAAATAAGAGGGCGGTTCTCAGTAACTTCAGAGAATGTAGATCTTGTAAAGGTACAGCTCTTTTTTTATTTTTTATTTTTTATGTGGTTGTTGTTGTTGATACTTTTGGTTTATTAACTGGCTTCTGCGAACTTAAATTTACTTTATAGGATATTCCATTGTGTACAGTTCCTCGACGATCTTCACAGGTGAGTGGCTGATGAAGGCAATTTTTGAAGTTACTTATTTTGGATGTGTAGTTTTTGATTTTATATTCATGTGATTTTTAGGGTTCACCACTAAGGAAGTCTGCTAGTGTCGGGGACTGGATATTTGATTCCAAACAAATGGTTTGTGTACTGACCTCTTAGATTTCTGAATGATTCATTCCAGCTAAAATGTGCAACTTCCTTTAGTATAAAACTACATGTCTTTTTAATTTGTATAAGCTCTTGAAAATATCATTAATGGAATTACAGTCAAAAAAATTGAAAATTGAAAAGAAAAGAAAGAAAAAAAAAACTATGGTTAACTTTTTTCACATGTGGACACGCATATAGGCACAGAGGACATGTATGTCACTAGTGTGGGACTTGGCAGCCTATTGTCTATTCTAAAGAGTTAAAATGACCTTTTTGATATGTAATACTAGAATCAAGTGACATATTTGTCATTCCAGGTCTTCCATCAATAATTATGTAGCTGGCTGCTAGAAAAATGAATGTTACTGTTTGATGGTATGTGAGTAATTACTGAAAGATTTGATATTTTTATTGTTCTTTCAGCCTGTAGGTCAGTTGCCCAAGGAAATGTGTAACAGTAATGTACCTGCATCACTTCTCATGCCCCACCTTCAAAACCTTTTCCAGCAGACTTCAATTCAACAGGTAAGGCAGGATTACTTTCAAGTTGTAGTTCTACATTTAATTCTGTGAAATGAAGTTTTCCTTGAAATACTTAAATCTTTGAACTGATGACTTTTTTGTTGCAATTGCTATTGTAATACCAGGATCTAATTTTGAATTTGTTGAATAGCTTACAACCTGTCGAGGTAGCGGATGGTGAGTGTAAGATTCAACATTACATTATCTAATGTGTACATCAGTGAAAGAGTTTCTCAATAAGTTAGTTGGATTACCCGGTTTTTGTTTCAGCTTCACAAAATGGAAAGTTGCCCCCATTAGCTTGCAGTTCAGAGAACAATGGGATTGTAAGTACATTTTGCACCTTATATTTTGGTTTAAGTTCAATTCTGTGCTTAAATGTGTGTTCTTCAAAAGGATCTTTTTGGTCATGCACATCTGTGTTTCTCTACGTATGCAATTGTTAACCTCAGTTCAGTCTCTTGTAAAATGTAAGGTTCCCATACCAGTTTTTTCTTGAGGTAATAGGAAGGAACAATCTGATATTCTGTACTATGCATTTGTTGTCTCTTATTATTGGTATTGTGTTTAACAGCACTTGCTATTTGTGTTGCCTGTTCTATTTTGTCTCACATCTGTGTGTATAGTCATTTAAATTGCTCTTCAATGAGTCTGATATGGTATCCTCATGAGTTGTACCATCGTAGTCATTTCCCATCTTACGGTATAATGAAAAAATACGAATGTTCACTTTGTTGCATTTTTTGATATTCCCATCACCAATATGATTGTATGTTTTACCTCCTATAATTTCTACCTGATGGTTAGTTCATTTCTGAGGTTTGGTATCTCTATAAACCCTTGTAATCATTTTTTTATTATGGCTAGTTTGACTAAAAATATTATGATCAATCAAAGACACTAAAGGTTTGGTTATTTTTTCGCAGGTTGAATCACCAATTTCTGAAAGGGAGCGATTACTACAAATCAAGATTTCTGAGCTCAATGCTAGGTTAATCTACGAAAATTAAAAGATATAGTCAAACAGTGCTGTTGAATCTTATTATAATTTTTCATAGGAAGCTTTATTAATGCTCTCTCTCCCTCATTGCAGGATGATTAACTTGACCCATGAATTGAATGCGGAAAAATTGAAGTTCATACAAGTGAGTTGCTTTAAGAGTAAAAAAAAAGGTTTGAGTCGTAATGATAGCGAGTTTCTTTTAGAGTAAAAAAAACAGTTTTGAGTCGTAATGATTGTTTATTTGGGTTGATTGTCGATTTGGGACATCTAATTGATAAAATAGTATGACTTCGCTTCCTGGGAGGGAAAGGAGTGATTGTCTTTTCTGGAACGGATGATGTGGATTGCTGATATCATGAATAATGGCTCACTATGTCTTATTTTTGTTCTATGATTTGCCCACTTTCAGTTGCAACAACAGCTAAATGCTGTGCCTGAGCGGGAAGATCGGGATAGAATAGAAGGGGATGCTTGAATGCCAAAAATTTTGATGCGAGTGTAAAGTAAGAGCACCATGTATATTCAGGTATGGATTTACACCTGCAGAAGTCAATTTTGTGCAACCTTTATCTTCTTCACTGCTAATTTTCGTTTGTGTGTGCTGTTGATAACATAGAAAGAAGTGGACCAGCATTCATGTTTCTGGAATTGTGTCTTTCTTCAACCTGTGTTGATTAAGATTTCTGTGAAAGATTCCAGCCTCCGCAATGATAAATAAACAAAATAATCAGCTGAGCAAGATACCATTTCTTTTCATTTATTATGATAAATTAGAAAGAGCTCCTTCCTGTGCAGAGTCATGTAGATACTCCCTGGTTGATTGGTTGTTCGCTTCAAGCAGTCACAGTGAAATAGAAGGTTATGGAGGTGTTCAATTTGTATCATCAAAACCCATATGTATCATTTTTAAGTTTAGCCATGACATTAATGTTATTTTGTTAATATGTAATTAGTACAAGGGCTTGAGCTTGTGTTGGCATAATGTACCCTCTCTCTCTTCAGAACTTTCATCTTTGCTATGATCATTTGGCAATCCTGTTTTTGCAAGACATGCCTCTGAATCTCAATATGTAAAATATCATCCTGTGGTTCTGGAAGTAGTCTCGGTAATTATCCAATCTTGAGGGAGTGTTAAGGTTCTTCCTAATCTGTTGGTGCTAAAGAACTTTGGCTAGTTTGAAAGTTGTCATGATTTTGTTCTTCTGGGAATAGCTACAAGCTTAAAGGAAGAGCCATGGAGATTACTCAGAAGCCTGAAGCTGGTTAGAGAGAGGAGGATTACATGAATCAGAGTGGCCACTGATTTCCAGCTTGTGGTGCAATTTATATAGCAAAAGAGAAACACAAAATGAGATCAGTAATTGAGGAATTGCAAGTTTCATTTTACAAACTCAAGATTCAAACACAGCTAGACATGAAACTCTCACTTTCCAATTTACATGCAAATAGAATTGATGTATTAATGTGAAGCATTTAGTAGTCCACCCTAGTCTAGAAATTGGCTGGCCATATTTTATTGCAGTATTGTGAACTCCATATTTTAAGATTTGACAGTTGAATTATTGTCAAGTATTATCCTAATTGTAGGATAGTTTTTCTCACATCTAGAGATGGATTAATCTGCATTGACATAATTATGAAAATTAGTGTGGTTAAATAAATAAATTAAGAATCACTTTAAAAACCCAAATAAAATTAGAAGAATTAATTGATATTTTATCTTCTTCTGTTTTTAGAAAAATTATTTATAAGTCTTATTAGGGAGATTATGCTACATAGTCTTACTAAAAAATTTATGTTTCCATAAGTCCTGTGGGAAGTTTGTTGGCACATTTACCCTCAATATTAGTTGTTAATATCATAAATAAAATTATATATAGGAAATTGAATATTATTATAGATCATATCTATATAAACGTAACGTAACGTGATACCTACATAAACGTAGCGTGACACCTGAACGTAACGTGACACTTACATAAACGTAACGTGACACCTATATAAACGTAACGTGACACCTATGATCTATGACAACATTCAATTTCCTATATCTATGGCAACATTCAATTTCCTATATAAGAAATTGAATGTTGCCATAGATCATATCTACATAAACGTAACGTAACGTGACACCTACATAAACGTAATGTGACACCTATGATTTATGGAAATATTGAATGTTACCATAGATTATATTTATATGAAACGTAACGTGACACCAACATAAAACACCAACATAAATTAGCAACATTTTCACATTTAATTTAAAAAAATAAAAACTCATTAAATTTGCGAAACGTAATGTGACACGTTATGTTACGTTTATGTAGGTGTCACGTTACGTTTATGTAAGTGTCACGTCACGTTACGTTTATGTAGGATCTTGTGGAATACATTCCTATCTAAATAGGACTTGAGATTCTATAAGAAATTACACAGGACTTAACCTAGCATAAGTGCTTGAAAAATGACTTATAAATAAGTCTCATTTTTTTTTTTAAAAAAAGAAATTATTTATTTATTTTCCGCTTGTATTTATTTATTTATACTCCTTAATGTTAGTGAACAAGAAGTCAATACATACCAATCTTTGTCACCTAGACATTAGGGCTACCCAAAAAAATTGGGGTTTTAGAGCATGTTGTACAATTCGTTTTGTTTGTAACATGTAGAAGATGCAGACCAATATGAAAGCTTTAACGATGAGAGTCACTATATATGATGTGATATTTATATATATATATATATATATATATATTTTGTAATATCATATCATTGGAGCTCAAATTAGAATTCTAGTTTTAGTATGGTTAATCATTATTCTAGGGGTTTGTTTGAAATATGGGTTGATTTTTTGATTACTAAAATAATTAAAAAATCAAAGTTAAAAAGTTTGGTTTACAATAGAGATTTTAATTTTTGTAAGAGAAAAAAATAAAATGATTATAATTTGAATGTGATGCTTTATGTTATTAATTTTTTAATTTATTTTACATTTTTGCGACAAAATAGCTAAAAAAAAAACGACAATGCTAGGTAGCTCAAATTTTTGTGGTTCAAATGGCTCAAATCTGTTAAAATGACGTCGTCAACATGATGTGATATTTATATATATATATATATATATATATTTTGTAATATCATATCATTAGAGTTCAAATTAAAATTTTAGTTTTAGTACGATTAATCATTATTCTAGGGGTTTGTTTGAAATATGGGTTGATTTTTTGATTACTAAAATAATTAAAAAATCAAAGTTAAAGAGTTTGGTTTACAATAGAGATTTTGATTTTTGTAAGAGAAAAAAATAAAATGATTATAATTTGAATGTGATGCTTTATGTTATTAATTTTTTAATCTATTTTACATTTTTGCGACAAAATAGCTAAAAAAAAAACTAAAAATTTTGGCATGCGGCTAAGATATAATCGGGTTCGATGTTAGAAGCATATATTACTCGGCATGCTATGTTGAGAGTCGCAACAAGAGGGCAGAACCAGAAGCTACTGACCTTCCTCAACAGACCCTTCATTTTCTCTATTATCATGTCGTCAAACAACACTAGGGTTTCTGCTTTCTCAGCAGGCTCTCCCACTTACTCCCCTTCGAAGCGAGTAGTCGGCACTCACAACGGAAGCTTCCACTGCGACGAAGCCTTGGGCTGCTTCATGATTCGCCTCACCAACAAGTTCTCCGCCGCCGAAATCGTTCGAACCAGAGACCCTCAGGTTAAGTATTGAAAATGTGTTCCAATCCAACATTCATATATGCATATACTACTACTATACATGTACAAGTTCATCCATCGGCGGCACAATTAATTAATTGCAGATGCTGGAAACCCTTGATGCTGTGCTTGATGTTGGGGGAGTTTATGATCCGAGTAGAGACCGCTACGATCATCACCAGAAAGGGTTCGACCAGGTTTTCGGACATGGTTTCACTACTAAGCTCAGTAGTGCGGGTCTTGTTTACAAAGTAAAAAATCAAACTTGCTTATAATTGGTTCAGATTGTGTTCATTTTGAGCCTCCTAGCTTTGTTGCTTTGCTGCTATAGTATATGAAATTTTGTGTTTATACACTTTGAAACTTATTTTATTTTATGGTGCTTGCTTTTCATGTAATCTAATTTGTCTATTATGTCTTTAGCATTATGGGATAGAGATAATTGCAAATGAGCTTCAGCTTGACCAAGGACATCCAGATGTGCATCAGTTATTTTTAGCTATTTACAAAAGTTTCATGGAGGTACAAATATTTCATCTTTCTTGTGCTTTTCAATTGTGTGGAAATTTTATTCCTACTAATTAATTGTATTGATGATACCAAATGTTTGAAAGAAAAAACCAAAGGAAAATGTTAACCAACATCTCACCAGCAACTTTCTAGTATGGACACTTTGTAGATGTTTTGGCATAGTTTTTAAATTGAAATCCAAAGTAACTCTATTCATAAGTGATATTTGAGGAATGTGCCAATTACCTTAGTTCATAAGGTGTCTTGGTGGTGGTACCAGAAATCTAGGACATAATCCCACAATTAGCTGGGTTTGAAAGTGTGTGGGCCAATTGTGGAGAAGAAAAGGGAAAAAGAAAAAAGAAAAAAAATAAATAAATTGTTCCTTGGTTACTATTTTATAAAGAAGAAAATTATGCCATAGGGGAGAGTGAATTGATGTGTGAGTCTCTACTATCATTGGGGAAAGGGGGATCTAATTTTGTTCATCAGTTTTTCCAAAACTGTTCCAACTGTATGTTACTGATCTATGCTGACGAGGCTAGTTGGAGAACAAAATCCAATAGTATGTTGGGTTGGTGTCATAGCAAGGGCAGCTTGATCTCAGAAGACTTCAGATATGATTAGTGGCTTAAGTGGTTTTCTTTTGTTGTTGGAGTAGAAGAAAGACGGGGTTCTTTTGAGAAGAAATTCGTGATTTAATTGCAAGAACATTGCTAAATTATAAGTTTTGTGCACTGAGATTTCAGTTGAAATTATTTTTTCCTTAGGGACAAGAATTCTGTACTCAATGTAAAGAGTTTTATTTTATTTTAATTTTTATATTTAAATAATAATAAAGTTGGTCATTCTTTTTACTTGAGCTATGTGCTGGTGGTGTAAATCAATAATTTTTAATGTTTCGTTTGTTTGTTACAGGCAATTGATGCCATTGATAACGGAATTAATCGATATGACACAGACCAGCCTCCAAAATATGTGAATAATACACATTTGTCCTCAAGAGTTGGAAGACTGAATTTGGATTGGATGGACCCTGATCAGTCACCTGAGAAGGAGAATGAAGCCTTTCAACAGGCAATGGCTTTGGCTGGCAGTGAGTTTTTGGATGTGAGATTTTTTTGAAATATACCACTTTCCCTTTTAGTTCATTTTTTTTCATCTCCATGTGAAGGTTCTGTGTAACTTCAACTGAATTTTAAAGGGTTGAAACAAATGAAGGGTTTTATGGATCATCATTTTATATATATTTCGCTTTTATTTTCATTTTTTCTGATAATGCTTTTCTTTCTGAAGAGTGTGCGGTTTCATGCAAAATCATGGTTGCCAGCACGGTCGATTGTTATGGAGTGTCTTGCAGCAAGGCATGATATTGATCCCAGTGGAGAAATTATGGTTTTGAATAGATTTTGCCCTGTAAGTAGTCAATGATGATACCTCCTCCATCAGCCTAATGTATTCGTCTTTCCTCACCAGGTTTTGTCATAGTTAATATTTGTAGCTAATTTATCAGTTTGATATTTTATTTTTCTTTATATTGAATTGATAGTTGTTTTCTACTCAACGAGTTTCCCAACGTTTGTACTGTATTATTGCATATTTCTCTGGTGACTAGCTAGTAGCAATGTTAAGCTGCTGTGTTTGTACAAGAAGTTGATAGCAAAGACCTGCCAGCTAAATGGTTGGTCAGTGGAAAACTATTTGGATGTCTCAAACAAGGAGTAATCAAATCATGTGGTATAACTTCTTGATTCAACTTGAGATATTGTTGCTGGGGCTTGGGAGAATTATTTGGCTTAATTGGCTCGCAAACTAAGCTACAAGGGAAAGTAATTGCTTTTCAGTGCTTATCAGTTTGAAGGGAGGAAAAGTTCTCAACAATTGCTTCGGTAGTTAGTAAAGCTAGTATACTGTTCTTCTACAGTTTTGGGTCCCAAGTTTATGGCTGCAAATTAGTCTAATTTCGTTGAGATTTACTTCTTAGAACATTTTACATTACAGCTACTGTGTTTAAGGTGGCCTTTAAACTACTACTAGCTAAACCTGAATAAAAGCATATTACCGCTGACAATGATAGTACATAATCTTATGCACGAACCTCTTGTCATATGTATGATGTGCCTTAATAATGCTAACAAAAAAATTATTTCTGTTAACTATGTCCATAGAAGTTTCTAGGATTCTTATTTGATTTTATCTGCTTGACAGTGGAAGCTTCACCTGTTTGAGCTTGAGGAGGAGATGAAGATTGACCCACCCATTAAATATGTTCTTTACGAGGTATTCTTGTCTATCTTGTGCCATTCTTGATTTCCTTCCTTGGCATGAGATGGTCTTTAGCACATTCTCCAACATCAATTCTTCTTCTTAGATAAGATCTGACTGTATGTGCATGTAATTGTGACATAAAAGGGTGACTTGGTGCATGAGACAGGTTCTGGGGAGGACAAGATACAGGCAATCTTACTTCCATTTATAGTTAGGTTGATTCCGTGACTTGAACCCATGCCAACAAGATGCTTATGTCGAGCTTTACCATTTGGTTAAGCTGCCCTTGCATATTTGGAAGTAAATGTCAAACATGAATATACTTTATGTGAGGAGTGTAGGCTTTACAGACACCTTTGCATATTTATATACCCTGGCATTTTGTTCAATCTGGAAGGGAGCAAAATGTCAGCTCTTTGTGATGAGGTCTGGCAATGTTTTTAGAACTCTAACTTTGAGCATTTGGTTTTTGTTTCTTTATAGTGATAGTGTCTCCTAGTTTCCCTTTTTCTTTATATCTCTCATGATATCATGTTGTTGTTGTTGTTGTTGTTGTTTTTTTTTTTAAATAAATAAATCTTTTAGACATTTATTTTTTTTTTTTTTTTTTGCCAAATTTATTTTATGTACCAATTCTAATTGCCTTTTGAGAAGAAATTCGTGATTTAATTATACCCACATAATAAATTTCAGGATGAAAGGGCCAAACAGTGGCGGGTGCAGGCAATGGGAATATCTCCGGATAAATTTGAGTGCCGCAAAGCACTCCCATCTCAATGGCGAGGCTTGAGAGATGAGGAACTATCAAAGGAGGCTGGAATCCCAGGTTGTGTTTTTGTCCACATGAGTGGGTTTATTGGTGGTAATCAAAGTTTTGAGGGTGCACTGGCCATGGCAAGAGGTGCTTTGAAGCTTTAAGCAGATAATCCCGTGGTATTGCCATCTTCTTGCTGAGATCTTTACGGCATTTGTGCATGATGCGCAGGACTGCCATTGCACCATCCTTCTCTTCCAATTTTGCTTGCCGGATGCAATGGCATTGAACACTGCATTTTTTTGAAGTTTTGTTTCTTAGAATCGGCATGATGATTGGATATGATGATGTGTTGTTTCATATTAGTGATTCATACAACTTATTTCTCTCTCTCTCTCTCTCTCTCTCTATGTATGGGTCCAGCTTGTCTCAAGTTGAGATCAAGACTGGACCCGTTCAGTTCGGCCCATGGGGTTCATTTTTTTGGGCCCGTTTTGTTAATCCGGACCGTTGAATGTGTAGAACTCGTTGAGTATTACATGCCTGTAAAAAATCACGTTGATCGGATATCAATAGTTATGTGATCAAATCAGTTTTGTATAAAAAAAAATGAACGGTAAAAAAATTAACGGTTAATAAAAAATTATTTTGTTCATATAGCTATCGATATCCAATCAACGTGATTTTTTACAAGTATATAGTACTCGACGAGTTCTATATATTGAACGGTTCGAATTATCAAAACGAAATCCGTAGTGAGCCCCCACAGGCCTAACAGCACGGTCCAGTCTTGTAATGGATCAAAGCCACTGCCATGATGGAAAATGGTGAAGCTCCACTGGTAATTGAATTTGCCTCGGAAACACGTTCTCAACCATAGTTGCCAAAATTTTGACCGACGTTATGGCTTCATAATTATTTCATATTAACATCGTTGCCCAAAGTAGACTTGGTTTGGCATAAACTAAATAATATAGAAAGTCAAAAAGTCATTATTCTATTTAAGTCACATCATCTTATTTAAATCACATCATCTCTCTAACACATCACATCAAACTCAACCCAAACCCAACCTATATAAGCCAATAAGTCAAAAAGTGTACTTTTTTAAAACATCCCAAACCAACCCTAAAAAGAAATTTATGATTGTTTCTATCTACTTGTATTTTTTTATTAAAATGTAGGAAAAATATCAAATAAGTTCAAAAATTTTACTAGAAAAATAAGACCTGTTAAGAATTTTTTTTATTATTTTAGCCTAATTAAAAAGTTCAACAATGATAGAGGTCATTAATTTTGGAGCTCTAAAAAGAGCACTAATGACATGGTACTCAATAAAAAAAGAAAAAAATACAACACTAAGGCCAAAATATCAAATCACTCGTGGTGGGACTTACTGCCACATCATTAGTGATAGCACTAATTAGTGCTCTCACTCATTTTCTTAAAAAGTTGTATTAAAAATAAATTTTAATATTTTTTTTATAATTGATTTGATAATTGTAAGAAAAAAATAATTATTATTTAAATATAATATTTTATTTTATTAATTAAATTAAATTATTTTATTTTTATTAGATAATTTGGATAAACAGTAATGTGAGGTGTTCAAAAATTTATAACTCTGCTGAAAACTTTCAAAACAAAATTTTAATACATTTGAGTCATATAAATTTGGACCCAAGTGTTTTTCTTAGCTAAAATAACTCCGGCAAAACTAGTCCCCTGGTCATAGTTGTTCCCTTCTCTCCTCTACACTACACTACACTACAAAATCCTCAACCTAAAATACTAAACCCCCAAATACTCAAGCTCCTCACCCGTCACTCTCTCACCATGGCGTCCTTCAATTGCACCACTTCTTCGTCTCTCTCTACCCTCAGAAAACAACCACTCCATTCCGATCCCTTTAAAACCCCACCCCACCTCCACCACCTCTCACCTCCAATTTCCCATTTCTCAACCCCACCTTTGACCCTCAAAACCCTAAAACCCATCACCTCCCAAACCCCTCTTCGATCCTCCTCCATCCCCATCACTTCCGATCTCTCCACAACCTCCGCCCCACAGTCCCTCAAATCCCGTCTCAAAAATGGCGAAACCCTCTACGGCCTCTTCCTCCTCAGCTTCTCCCCCACCCTCGCCGAGATCTCCGGCCTCGCCGGCTACGACTTCGTCGTGGTCGACATGGAACACGGCCACGGCGGCATCTCCGACGCCCTCCCTTGCCTCCACGCCCTCGCCGCTACTCGTACTCCCGCCATCCTCCGCCTCCCGGAGTCTTCCCCTATGTGGGCCAAGAAAGCCCTCGATCTGGGCCCACAGGGCATCATGTTTCCCATGATCGACAACCCAAAATTGGCCCGAAAAGCAGTGTCGTATTGCAGGTTTCCGCCCAATGGAGTCCGTGGATCGGCCCACACCGTGGTTAGGGCTTCGAGTTACGGCATAGACGAGGGGTATTTGAGTAATTACGAGGAAGAGTTGATGATCATGTGCCAGGTGGAGTCGGAAGAGGGGGTGGAGAAGATCCAGGAGATCGCGGCGGTTGATGGGGTGGACTGCATTCAGATGGGGCCGTTGGATCTGAGTGCGAGCATGGGGTTCTTGTGGGACCCTGGGAACAAGAAAGTGAGGGCGATGATGCGAACGGCGGAGAAAGCAGTAAAAGGAGGTGGTGGGGCCTACTTGGCCGGGTTTGCTATGCCGCACGATGGTCCTCAAGATCTACGGCAGAGAGGGTATCATATGGTGTCTGGTGCGGTGGATGTGGGGATGTTCAGGAGTGCTGCGGTGGAGGACGTGAACAAGTTTAAGATGAGTTTGATGAAGGGCTCTGATGATGATGATGATGAGACGGCGGAGGGTGGTGGTAAACACGGTGATGCTGATGACAAGTACTGGAGCGAATGAAGATAAATGCTTGAGTTGAGAGTTCTGCTTTGCATGAAAAAAGTGTGCTTTTTTTTTCCAAAACTTTTGGTAGTAGCTTATTCTCTTCATTTGGAGATGTGATGGTGAAGTGGGTGTTTTTGCTTTCCTAGTGATTTTCTTCATGTGGGCAGGCAGGCAATACAGGGAATGCTGAGGTTGTTAGCCCTGGTCTGTACACTTCTATTGGCATCAAATCTATCGTTGGGCTTTCGTTACGGAGAAATTCTTTTTCCAACAATTGCTAGAGATCTGAAATACTTTTATTCCGTGTTTGGTTGAGAGATTTGAGAATAAATTTAAAAAAAGAAAAGAAAAAGTTAGGTAAAATATGAATAAAATATATTTACATTTCACTTAATTTTACATTTTTTTTTTCTTTTAAATTCATATTTAAATTTTTTAAGCAAACACAACATTAAGATTTAGTGGCATGTAAAAAGAGAGATTATTTGCGGGTCAATTTTAAATAAAATTTTAACAAAGTTGAACAAAAGTGACATTTTAGTAATTTGAGTTCGTATACGTACTAGGGTTATTTTTTATTCCTACCATTTTTGTGACCATTTCACAATCTTTTTATTTTTCTGCAATTTTTTAGTTGATAAAAGAAATTCTATTGTAAAACAATATGTATTCAAGTTAAATTAGGCTTGGATTTTCTCATTTTAACTTAAAAGAACATTTTTATTAGAAAAACTTCTAGAAAAAATTGTCCAAAGAAACCATAGTTAGATCTTGTAAACAAATCAAATTACTATTTTTGTCTCAAAATATTAGTTTCTTATTTAATTTTTTATTGTCTTAAAATATTAGTCTATTTTCAAAAATTAAGTACAAAAATAATATAAAATTTTTATTTTGTCATTTTTTTAAATTTATTAACAACATAAAAAGTATAATTATAATATTGATATTCTTTAAAAAATGTACTATTAAAAGGTAATTTTAAAAAATTAATTTTTTTAAAGTGCAATAATTATATTATCAAAAAAAGTTAGATTTCCTAAAAGAGATCATTATTTTGAGACGGAGAGAATATAAATTTTTAGGCTCTGTTTGGAATGATTTTCAAACTATATGTCTACCCCCATATTCCAACATGATGTTTGGATACTACACTCAAATCACAGTTCCACAATATTTACAAAACTCTCAAATTTTTTTTTTTTCAAATTTGGCTTAACCGGCCGTCCCACCGGTCGTCTGGCCGATTGACAGGCCGGTTGACCGGAACAGTGCAAATTTTTTATTTATTTTTGCAACTGACATATGTTAATTTTTATATATTTGAAAAAAATATTTTTCGAATTTTTAAATTTTTTTATGTGCTTTAATAAAATTTTGAGTTGTATGTTTGGTTATGAGTTATAAGTTTTTATATCAAATATCATATGTCACATCAAAAATTCTTCATTCAATTCAAAACTCTTTTTAAAACTTTTTTACCAAACAAATTCTCCACACTCAAACCATAATTTCAAAACTTACAAACTCAAAATGTAACTCATACTCTTAAATCATATTTATAAAACCCTACCAAATGTAATTTTAATTTTTTGAACATAAACTTCTAAATTTACAAATTGATATCAATCAAAATCAATCCGTCAATTCCATTTTACAAATGAGGAATGATAGGCCATTCTACATTTTATGTATCACTTTATAGATTTCTCAATATATTCACTTTTATTCGCTCGCCAGTGTTTGGTTATTACACATACAACTCACCACCAAAATCATTACTGTATCAAGAATACTATGTATCATGAAAGAAGTGTTGGAAATGGTTATAAAATTTTGTATAAAACTAGAATTTTTTCCTAAATTCGGTCTATTTTTTAGGTGGACCCCGAGTGTCGATTTACTCGGGTCAAAGTGGTAACGCGTTCTATGCCGCGTTGTGATTCACGTGGTATATTTGGTTGCTCAAAACCATTACCGAGTGAATGGGAAATTGAAGCCAAAGTGTGCTCCATGGAAATGAAGTTATGGTGGAAATTCCTTAAGGTTGTAAATTGGCTTGTCCCACATTGATTTGGTGGGTAGTTTTGAAAGGGTTATAAGGCTTAGGGTGAGATACTTGGGGTGTGCCCCAAGGGGTACCCAAGTGTTTTAGAGGGAGAATGTAATAGGCTTTAATCCCATCCCCTTTGATGAACTATACACTAGCTCTTTTGTCAAACCTTTTGTTAACGGATCCGCAATATTCTCTTTAGATTTTATATAATCTATTGAGATTATTCCATTTGACAACAACTGCCTTACGGTATTATGTCCACGACGAATATGAAAAATTAATTTTTTTAAAGTGCAATAATTATATTATCAAAAAAAGTTAGATTTCCTAAAAGAGATCATTATTTTGAGACGGAGAGAATATAAACTTTTAGGCTCTGTTTGGAATGATTTTCAAACTATATGTCTACCCCCATATTCCAACATGATGTTTGGATACTACACTCAAATCACAGTTCCACAATATTTACAAAACTCTCAAATTTTTTTTTTTTTCAAATTTGGCTTAACCGGCCGTCCCACCGGTCGTCTGGCCGATTGACAGGCCGGTTGACCGGAACAGTGCAAATTTTTTATTTATTTTTGCAACTGACATATGTTAATTTTTATATATTTGAAAAAAATATTTTTCGAATTTTTAAATTTTTTTATGTGCTTTAATAAAATTTTGAGTTGTATGTTTGGTTATGAGTTGTAAGTTTTTATATCAAATATCATATGTCACATCAAAAATTCTTCATTCAATTCAAAACTCTTTTTAAAACTTTTTTACCAAACAAATTTTCCACACTCAAACCATAATTTCAAAACTTACAAACTCAAAATGTAACTCATACGCTTAAATCATATTTATAAAACCCTACCAAATGCAATTTTAATTTTTTGAACATAAACTTCTAAATTTACAAATTGATATCAATCAAAATCAATCCGTCAATTCCATTTAGTGAATTACAAATGAGGAATAATAGGCCATTCTACATTTTATGTATCACTTTATAGATTTCTCAATATACTCACTTTTATTCCCTCGCCAGTGTTTGGTTATTACACATACAACTCACCACCAACATCATTATTGTATCGCCCCTTACCACTGTCACTAATGTGCCATCACCAACGCCCCTTCCCCTGTCACTTTCCTCTTCACTTTCCATCTAGTATTCAATTTCACCATGATGAATTTGTTGTTTCGGACCTGATCTATGGTTATAGGGAACATAAGCAACCATCAACACAATTGCAAAACCACCTTCAATGGTGGAGTCCCACTTAGGGGTGGGCATCGACTGATGATCCATCCAACTCTCATTTCATCTCTCTTTTAAAGATTTAAAATTGAAATTTTAATACATAAAATTGTCTTAGTATGAACATTTAAGTTCATTAAATAGACAATGTTTGACAATATTTTTTGAAACCGGTCTAGCCCAACCCAACTCAATTATTAATATATATTGTGTATACATTCATATATATTAGTGTGTGCATATATATACTAGTTGGACTCCCATATTATAGTGATTCCAGATCTTACCCCTTGTTGTACAGTGATCCGGACTTGATTCCGTGAATGGTAGCAGTTGTTTAGATCTTGTTTACATCCTTTTGTACTTTGTATTTGAGTTATAGGATGTATTGGGCGTGTTTTGAACAGGTAGATTGAATTTTGATCTCAAGTGTAGTTGCCCAGGTTTTTGGTGTTACGCTCGAGCGAATCATTTTGCGCTCAAGCGGAGTTTGATTTTTGGTTGTCCGCTCAAGCGGGCCTTTTTGCGCTCGAGCGGGATGTACACACTCCCAGTATCTCGTGTCCCTACAAAACTTCTGCAAGTGTGTTTTTCACACTCGAGCGGGTTTCTTACGCTCGAGCGGGTATGTTGGCGCTTGAGCGGGTAGTTCTTTGTCTGTGAAAGTTCTGGGAGGGGGGAATCTACGCTCGAGCGGACTGGTTTTCGCGCTTGAGCGGATGTACTTTATCCTTGTGTCTTGGAGCTTGAGCGGGCCTTCTTGCGCTCGAGCGTGTCCAGATTTTTGTGCTTGACGCTCGAGCGTTCTATTTTCCGCTCGAGCGGGAGTGTTGTATATCAGTGAGCAGCTGGGTAATTTTGAATCACTTTTTACATTTCCTCTCTCTCTTTTACTTTCCCAAAATCATTTTTGAGAGCCTCTCTCTCTAGGATCTTCTTTCTCTCTAGGGTTTGATCTAGTTAAAGTGTCTCCCTATCCTTCGGCCTTTGTAAAAAGTGTGTTGATCGTTGAGGGTTACGTTTTGATTCGAGAATCTTGGTGTTTGGAGCATTTTCATTTTTTTCATCTTCTCCGGTTGAGCTCTAACTTCGAGGTAGGGATATCCTACTCCTCTTTATGAGCTTTGTTTTTAAATTTTAGCATTTTGATATGTTGGGGGTTGTTAGGTATTTTTGAGAAAGTTTGGGGCCTTTTGTAATTTTACAAAAGAAAGGGTTTTACTTATATAAACCTATATGTATGTTTAGCATGGAGAAATGAAATAAATGTTGGGTTATTGATAGAAATGGAACCTTAGGGTTGTTTTGTTAATTAAGGGAAATGCCCTAATTACATTGATGAATTAATTTGTGAAATTTGTTTTGAGAAATGAGAAATTGAATTGAGAATGTTGAAATTGGGAACATATGGGATTAAAGGGTGTAATTGGATCATTTATCACTCACTTAGTTGAAATGTTGATATTTTATCCATTTGGTACATTTATTTTCTGTTTAGAAATAACTGCTTTGGGCTATCGGTGGAGGATAGTCTTGATTGTTGTAGACAACGCATGACGATTAGGCAAACTAAAACTAATCGATTGAGTATGCTATCGAGTATAACGGTTGGAATAATACATTAACTTTATGTATTGATTGATTGTGTATATGATCTAGGTTTATATACATTGTGTGTAGGAGAAGATAGGGGATGTACTCCACGGCTTAGGGGAAGATAGGGGATGGACCTCTAAACCGGATTTTGTGTGACATTGATACAGCACTACAATGTGTATCAAGTGTTGATTATGGAAGTGTTTGAATTGATTTGATATAGCACTAAAATGTATATCGTTATCAATTGTGAAGTTTAGAAATGTTTCTATGTGTTATTGATACAGCACCAAAATGTGTATCCATCATGAATTTCGAAAGTGTTTTAAAGATGAGTCTTAATCTCATTAAGTTATCT